AAAAAAAGAAAAAAAGAAAAAAAGAAAAAAAAAGGGGGAGCTGCAAGAAGAAATAAAAGAGAAATCCCAAGAAAAGCCAAAGTAAGGAAGCAAAGGCCGAACTGCACAATGAAAAGGCAATGTAGCGGTTTCAGTGTGCTTCATGTTGTTTGCTATAGAAGATTTGAAGGTAAAGCTGTTTCAATTTTGGATCCACTCATCTGTGTGGAAAAGAAAAGGGACTGTCGCACAGTGACCACACACATTTCCTGAACAGAGTCTCTCTCTCTGTCCTCTGTTGTTTTGTCAGTTCCCTGAATAGAAGTCTCCGATTGTGACCTTCACCCCTTTTGTCACGGCGATATAATCGTGAAGTTCACCTATGATCTCTCTTCCCTCGATGTCACTTCTTCCTTATCGCCCCTACTGTGACACTTGGTTGCACACGTTGATAGCTATAGGTGACCTGTGTGTATGTGGTGATAGCTATAGGTGACCTGTATGGAAAGATACGTCGCCATGATTTTTGTCTTTGTGCATGTCGAGAGTAGTGGAGCAACGGCCCCATGTGTCCATCTTTCTTTTCTTTTCCAGTGGAAGCAATCACCTTGATGACGTTTGATCCCCTAACCACTTACAGGACAAGTGAAATAGAAACTGGCATCATTCCATTCTCATTGGTATAGGTTAGGCCATTTCCAACCTCCCCCCCTCCTCCTTTACCTCCTTTCCTGTTGTTGTCCAGAGAAAATGTTCTGTCTTTCACCAGTTTCAAAAGGCTGCCATGCTTTACTTGCTGCCTGGTTGATCCCGCCAGTTCGCAGCCCTAAGGCTGCGGTATAGTGGGCTTCGGCGTCTGTGTCAAGGTGTTGCATTTTTGGCGGCGGGCGACCACAATGCAAGTGGGTTCTAAAGGGGGGAAAAGATTTTGGGGACCGGTCCTTCGAGATATTGCGGACTACCTACAGCTCGCTCTTGTAGAACCGGGACTTGTTGGAAAAAGGAAGGACCGGTCCTCGGGTGGAAGCGGACCCCAAAAAGAAGTGAGGGCATGTCGGTCCTTTGAGATATTGCGGACTACCTACAGCTCGCTCTTGTAGAACCGGGACTTTTGGAAAAAGGAAGGACCGGTCCTCGGGTGGAAGCGGACCCCAAAAAGAAGTGCGGGCATGTGAACTGCGAAAGGGCCCTCAGGCCCAGGCGTTGAGGCCCATCTTCTCAAAACAGGGAGGTCAGGCGCAACGAAACAGGCGTTTTGCAAAAGGCAACTTTGGCGATTTTCTGTGCTCAGAGGAATCCGCAGAAAAATCTGAAATTTTGAGAATCCATGGATGAGGTCGTGTTCTTTCCAGGAAAAAATATCAGAGCATTTTCAAAAAATCATTTAGACCGCGAAATAATCGTTGCGCCGATTTGGCACATTTTCCATTTTTGCCACTCAGCCATGTGTGGGCCAACTGAAAAAGTACTCCAAATCCAGTGAGTTTTCGCGGTAAGAAGAATGCGCGAAAAAGCCTGAAAATTGGAGTACTCTGCTACTCGTAGATTTTGTTGTGATCTTTCCAGGAAAAAATGCTAAATATTTTTTTTTGAAATCATTCCAACTGTGAAATAGATCGCGGCCGCAATTTGAGCCATATTTCAATTTTGCCATTCAGCCTCTCTCTCTCTCTCTCTCTCTCTCTCTCTCTCTCTCTTGCATCTCTCTCTCTTGCATCTCTCTCTCTCTCTCTCTCTCTCTCTCTCTCTCTCTCTCTCTCTCTCTCTCTCTCGTGCACGCTCTTAGTCTCATTGCTTTGGCTGCCTTAGGGATGCGTTCCCCGCACCCACGCGGTAGACAATAGTCATATGCTTGTATTGAAGTGTCTCGAAGACTAAGCCATGCATGTCTAAGTGTGAACACTTTGCACAAACAAAAAAAAAGAAGGATGCCATGCTCAGCTTGTTTGCTTGTTGAATGCAGGTGCTGAATTGGTTATGCCTCAATCACACCCTTGAAGGCCATATCTTGACCAGGTACGTTACTTTCGGATGAATAAAAAAGGGGTTACTGTTCCCTCCTCCCCTCCCCCACTCCTCCTCCCTCTCCTCTCCACCCCCGAACCCTGTCTGGCCTTTCTCATTGTCTTGGCTTCATGCTTTTGTCATTGTCTTTCCTTCTTTTTCCTTGTTCTCTCTCTCTCTCCCCCTCTTTTTTTTTTTTTTTTTGTTGAATTTGGACCATTTCTCAATTTACGCGTGCCATCCTTAAATGCGCAAGGGCCATGCTAATCTTCTCTGTATCCTTTTTCCCAATCTTTTCACTGGATGTCCCTTCATTCTGTATTGTGTGGGTCCCATCTGATGGAACATGACCTGGGTAGGTGCTCGTAGCCTCTTACAGATGAACAGGCTGTGAGCTGTGCTGGGATGGAAGTCTATTATATGGAAAGGTGCTTTTAGTACTGTGAAATTGTGAATAAAAAATAAAAAAAATGGTCTCTGGGATTGCTTTGTTCGAAATTCGAACCCATTTGTTAGTGGAATCGCAGATCTTAGGTCGTCGAGAAGCCGAATTGTTTTTTTTTTTCTTTTTCTTTTTTAAACCACTAGTACCTCCGCGAGCCTATTTTTGTCGACCCTGGATTTCACCGCGCACCGAAATCTGCCGAGCATGGGTGCAATTGCGTTTTCTTTTCTGTTACTCTTCGGAAAAAAAAAAAAAAAAGAACAACGAAAAAAAAAAAAACAAGGAACAACCCTAGGGAGGTGAAAGCAGCTGCATCCAGAATCTGGGGCACAAAAATGTGAGACTATGCCCTCCCGACAGGCAGCTACACCCGCGCTGCATTCACCGGATGAGCCAAAGGAAAAATAAGTTCGAAAAAAAATTACAAAATTGAAAAATCATATACTCTTTGGACGTGAAAGCAGCTGGATACAGAATCTGGGGCACATATAACAGTATGCCCTCCCGACAAACGTTACTTCAGGAGCTGTATTCATGGCAGCAGCAAAAAAAGAATCAGCTCCTTGGACTTGAAAGTAGCTGGATACAGAATATAGAGTGCAAGTGAGACTGTGCCCTAAGTTGCAGAGTTGTTATCAGCTATCCGTGTAATGCGCCCTGCCTCGTTGGTGGGCCACGAAGAGAGGAAGAGGACGAAAAGAAAAGGAAAAAACTAACACAACCAAAAATGGAACTAGCTAAGTTTCTTGGTAGATGCGTTCCTTGGAGTACCACTGTGAGCGAGCAAACCTCCTCCACGGCCTTCCCCGACTTCCTCCCTTTCGACTTTGCTGCTTCTTTCACTTTTTTTTTTTGTTTTGTTTTTGTTTTGCAATCGGGCCCGCAAGTACCAAAATTAAAGGCCTGCCGACCCTCCGCGGGGCTCCAAAAACTTCAGAAATTTGGGAAAACTGCCAGTTTTCCCGAATTTCTTTTGCCTGGCGGAGGTACTGGTGGTTTAAAGCACAAACGTCCCCCCC